AACGAGATGGAGACCAGTGTGGAAGAAGATACGTCCTGTAAAATTAAGATACTTTGTTGAATTTGAATTTTGTGTTTGTAAATTCTGTACATTTAATCAAGTTAATGTTAATTATCTATTGGTTAATGTTAATTATCTATTGGTTTAATGTAAGTGGCTATTGTTCGGGAGGGGCAGTGCTACGACAGCGGAAGTCACGCGACGCTAGTAACGCATCATGAGATTCCCAAAGAATTTTGACTTTTCTTGGCAACTCTAGTCTTTTCTGGGCGCCCTCTATTTTAGTATATAAGTCTGGCAAATAAAGCAGATATAATAATTGGAGATAGACAGACATAGAGACAGATATTTGGGTCAAGTGAGCAGTAGTGACTGTAAGTAAAGTGCGTGAATTGTTGTGAATTATAGCGTGTGTTTAAGTTAAAGTGACTGTGGAAATTCTGTGTATTGCAAAGTTGTATTGAGTAAGAATAGACAATTTTTATTTAAGAAAGGACTTGTATCACTGAAGTTCCTCGGGAAGAATTTATAACGGAAATTAACAAACGACCAGAGGCGTAACATTATAATCAAATAGGGCCTTATCTATGCATTGTCGCAAGAAAATAAAATATGTAAACATGGAACAAAGAAACTAAGAACAGTGGTCGGAAAACGATACCAGGGATCAAGGAAAACGATTTTGAGTTCCGTAAAAATAAAAACTCTCCATTAATTATTTAACAATAACTAAAACGAATCCACCACACCTAACCCTAAAAATTAATGCTGTGAAAGTAGTAGGTCGTATAGATATTGGATCTGATTATTCAGTACTAAATGAAAATATATTGCAACAAATCAAGAGAAATTATTTAACACTTCAACTAAAAACTTGGAGTAAATGTAACATGTGTCTTGCAGACGGAATGATGGACTTTCACCGGTTAGGATATTTTAAAGCAAATTATTAATATTGTTACGTATCTGCTTGTTTGATAATTTCCCATAAAAATTCTTTCCGAGAAACTTCAGCGATACAAGTCCTATCTTAATTAAAACTAGTTTATTCTTTCTCGTTACAAACTTTGT